CTGGGCAAGACTCAGAATGTTGTAGTTTAATTTTTTCTTAAATACTACATGCATTATTCCCTTCATTTAGACATGCTATTTCTTATTTGTTTTCCACTATTTGACAACATTCTTTTCTGTTAATGTCTGTTGCATCTTGAAGACATTCACCTATTTTGGATTTTGAAAGACAGGAAGATAGTTACCCTAGGTAAATTTTAGAGTTTTTTTCCCCCCAGTCTGCTCAACAGCTTATGAAAGATTGATAACTGAAGAATTCCTTTAAAAGACATCCAGGAAGAGCAAATGCAACTAGTTCTGTGCAGAGCTGTGATCAGCTTCTATAATGCTATAAACTTTTCCTCTAAGTTCAGTATCTTGAGGGGCAATTCTTCTCCAGACAGTGCAAAACAGCAATGGCTTGTTCTAGCATCCCCGTTCGGCCAACCCATCCCCAGGGACCATGATGCAAATGTGGTACTGGGGATACTGCAGCAATGTGAGCACTCAAACGTACCTTCACAGGGCCTCACCAGCGCTCAGCTGCTCAGATCACATGTCAAGTTCAAACTCTCAGCTCAGGAAAGCAGGATGCCCCTCATCCATCACAGAACGTGTCAACTGATAGCTTCCTCTACTAGCAGTGTGCTTCAGTTTACAAAAATAAAGACTATGGTCACCACCTTCCTTAAACAAAGGTCTACCTTACCTGCATGATTTGAGAAAAGAGGTTGGAATGAAAATGCTGGGCATGAACTTCAGTCTATCAACCACCTTTTTAGATTATAATTATTCCAAGTAATAACAACACTGGAGCATCTGGGGTTTGGGGAGATTTATGGGCCATATAAGGTCATGTTTGAAACGAGCAATTCACACCAGGGTGTATTTACCAGATGGTGGTCCCTCAAGGTCATCAGAAATCTGGGCTACAGTAATGGAGCAAAAAGGTGCAGAATTCAGCCAGCTTTCTGAATTAGGAGAGAGCCAATTTGATTCTGGACTTTGTTAAATCTGTGCTACAGGGCAAACATCAAAAGCTCACTGTGTATCTTGTTGGGCAAAGCTACATCGATAAAAGATCTTTAGCAGCAAGTCTAAAGGGACAGCAATGATATTGCTGAATGAAAAGTCTTCATTTTGTAACCATATGTGGCCATCATCCTGTTGCAAAACATTAAGAGCTTTTTCCTACAAAAAAAAAAGAAGGGTGGATTTCAAAAATTTTCGTTCAGATGGAAACAGCTCAAATAAAATGTTTCCTCCTTTTTAGACACGAAAGATTACAAAAAGGATTAATTAATGTATTCAATTTCAGGCTTTATAAACAGTGTGGTTACATCTTTCTTAGGTTCCCCTCTACTCTGCCTTCCACATTTAGCTGGATGTATTGGGTTGTCAGAAAAGTCATGATGCATTTTCTTTATGTTTTTCATTGCAAAAATGCGTCATGACTTTTCCGACAACCCAATACTATAGAACCGAAATACAGTTTATGTTCTAAATTTAAAATGTAGGTTGAGAATATTTTGGCTTCTTTTTCTATAATAAGGAATAATTGAATTGAAAAACATTTATATATTTTTAAAATGTACATTTATTACACCAGAATGAAAACAAAAATTTCCTCACCCAAGGTGTACATGGTATGATTTGTTTTTTCCTCTCAGAAAATTCTGGAAGCACTTATGTGGTATTATATGGCTGATTCCACATTTTATACTGCCAACATTAATTCTTCAAAAGTTATGTAGCAGCAGGAGATGTACAGCAACCCTGATTTCTATGTGGGCATTTATAGTAGCATCTCTAATGCCCGTAACTACATCACAGAGGGAGGCAGCGCAGGGCTAAGTAGCTGTGAATCATGGCAGACATGGCTTAAGGCCAGGCCTTACTCTCCATGAATGGATTAGACACACGCAGTTTTAAATCATCAAAAGAGCTCCTTTGTTTTCTGTGTTGTGCAGACGTGGCCTGGAGCGGAATTGGAGGCTTCCATATGCTTCTGCACCTCCACTGAAATAATTCTGGCAACTCTGGCGTGATGTCACCATCTAGGAAAGGTCTGTGTTTTTTTGGTTTAGAATGTATATATTGTCCTGAGAGCTCGTGTGCATATAGACGCATCAAAGTTACGACTCAGGAACTTAAAATTAAGTTAAAGGACTGGAACAAATAATATTGGCTGTGCTTGGGACTATCCTGCCAAAATAGCAATTTCAAAAGCAGAGATTTCGTGTAAAAATGTCTTACCAAAAGTCAAATCTGGAAATGACTCCAGGAAGCTCAGCAGTTGGCATGTGCTACAAGGATGCACTCTAGCAATGGTTTTAATTATGATAACAGGTCTCAACATGTAGGGTTTATGTTAGGTTAACATAATAAAAAAGTGAAAAAGATTATTTAGTTAAAAACTAAATATCTAAGCAAACATATGCCAACTGTATAGAAAGTAAAAACTAGACTTCAGATTTTCACGCAGATTATAATGTTACAGTTATTCAAACAGTGGTACTGATGCTAGGATGGACAGAGAGCAGTGAGATGAAATTCAGAAACAAGACCTGGTAGGTAAGGATTTTATATGTGGCTGTGGTAGAGATGGCCACTCGTCTTACAACATCTATTCTCCCTTTCTTCTTTACCAAGAGAAACCCCCTATTGTTGATGGCAGAAACAGGTACCTCTAAAAGCCTTTTTCCCCAGCTTCCATTATAGAGGAGCAGTCAGTGAAATATAATGGGGGGTATCTGGTGATGTTCTTTAAAGGAATATGACTTGGGGGGGGAAGAGTGCCATTTTGTTATCTTTTTCTCTTCTTCCAATTTTCTGCCTGGAACTGACATGATGGCCAGCAGCTATCTTGGGACCATGAACAGGCCAAGAGCACATCAGAGACCTCAACCCTGAAATCCTCAAACTACTGAACCAGTGGCAGCAAATGCCCACTCTGTATTCTTGCTATATAAGAAAAATAAGCCCTTATGTATTTAAGCAACTTTGCAAACATGCACTTTGAAAGATGGCCAAATGAAAAGGGGACTGCTTCACACACACACACACACACACACACACCCCACACTGAAGCTTAAATTTAAACCAGGCTAAAGTGTCTGCTTATACAACAGTACAATCTGGTACACAGCCAAGTGCAAAATTATGTGTCTCAGATAACGCGGAACTTCTCATCCATCTGTGTTCACAGGCAGATGGAGGCTTTAGGTACATCTCTGAAGGAAAGCAGACTCCCAGATTTACCAAATTAACCCCGATGTTGGCATGAGCTGTGCAGCCGGCTCACCTCGCCTCAGGTAAGTACTACTCAGCTTACGGCAAACTTCCTTTTGTGTGGTTCTGGCCAGACGCAGGGCGTTGTTAGGCCACATAATTTCGGAAAGTCACCTTGCAGGAGGGCTGCCTTCTTGAGCGCTTGTTTTGTAACCAGTTTGTTACTTATCAAGAGAAAGGTATCAGCGCCATGGAGGGTGAACCCAGTCGAGTAGTTCTGAGTCACTCTCGTTCCTTCTCTACTTGCTCAACCCACATTCCTCTCCACCCTGCCTTGCATTTGACCCCTCCTCCATCTTGTCCTTCTGCTTTATCTTTGTGCAGAACATAATGGGTTTGGAACTTAAAGCCGATGGTTCTGAAGTTAAGTCCTGACTGCCCTAACGAGCTGTCATGAATCTAGTTAGCGCTGAGCCTTCTCATCTGTGAAAGAGGCCCCAGGGCGCTGACTCACAGGGGTCCTGTGACCACGGAGCTCATGCATGGATGGGTACCTTCAGGCAGGAAGGGCCGACTAACACACACAGGAGGCATGGTGGGGAGGGGCGGAAAGCATTTCAACAAGCAACAGCCAGGGGAGGAGCACGGAGTACCATGGAGCAGGGGCTGTTCTACAAACAGGGACTGGACTTTGTCCTCAACGTGCCACATGGGCTCCTGCACCCGGAGACCACCTCGCAGAGGCAGCAGTAGCGGGGGAGGGGGGTGGGTGGGGTCTCCATCTGGCAGGATGGTGCAGAAGCCCCATCAGAGCCTGCCCCATTCTCATGGTCAAGGGGGAATCAGATCGGTGCTCACTATACTTGTTCTTACAACTTTTCTGTAGGTTTAAAATTTTTCAAATTAAGTTTTTTTGTTTGTTTTTTTGTTTTTAAAGAAGGCATCAAAGGGGTAACCGGGAACAAGCAGGACTAAAAGCCGTTAAAAGTCCCTGCCTTGTATTAGGACTCAGGCAATCCATTCTTAGCAGCACAGTTTTTAAACATCTTTTTAAATCTGGTGTCACTGATGTCTTCTCGCTGTAATATACAAGATACTTTCCAAGTAACGCCTGCTTCATTTCTTCGTTATAAAAGTAACTTTTCTTTTGTTGTTCCATATTTATGAATTAGTTGATCATAAAAACTTTTTTCCTATTATTTTATTGTGGTAAAATATATATAAAGAAATTTACAATTTTAACGATTTTTAAGTGTATAGTTCTGTGGCATTCACACTGTTGTGCAGCCATCACCACCATCCATCCACAGAGCTTGTTCATCTTCCCCAGCTGAAACTCAGTACCAATTACACACTAATCGCCATCTCTTCCTTACTCCCGGCCCTTGGCAACCACCATTCTACTTTCTCTCTCCATGAATTTGACTATTCTAGGAACCTCATATAGGAAGAATCACACAGTATTTGTCCTTTCGTGACTGGCTGATTTCACGTAATATAATGTCTTCAAGTTTCTTCCATTTTCTTTCTTTTAAGGCTGAATGATATTCCATTGTGTATACACCACATTTTGTTTATCCATTTGTCTGTCCATAGACACTTGTATTGATTGCTTCCAACTTTTGGCTGTTGTGAATAATGCTGCTATGGACATGGACATACAAGTACCTTCATCTTCCTGCTTTCTCTTCTTTGGGGGAGATACACACACACACACACACACACACACACACACACACACATACATATATACCCGCCCCCTATATATATATGACTATACACACATATACCTTGAGTCTTATATATCCTACTTCTATGCCCCTTCAATTGGTTGCCCATCCATTCAAACGTTTACCGCGTGAGTACATGTGCCATGCCGGGCAGGCACTCTCTTGATTCTGGGGAGATACAGCTAGAAACTGTGCTGCCTGAAGGAATACAGAGAGAAATAATTAGTGAGTCTTGGGTGATTTGATAACACAATTTCAAGATCTCAAGAAATCCCAGTCATTTGTTACATTTAAATTTTACTGTAGAAGTAATTTCCCACTAGCTAGCATTTGGAAATATGTCTTTAAATCAGGGATTTTCTTGCCATAGTGTTGATTTTATGTTCCTCCTTTCTTCAGTTCTCTTCTCTGGTTCCCCATCCCTTCCTTCAGCTCCACATTCTCCATATCACTCTATGACTATTTTTTTCATGGTCTAGTTTTTGTGTCTACTTTGTGTGTCATCCCACTTCTATCTCCTGACTTATCTAACACTAAATCTGTCTGACTCTGCCTGGCTGGTCTAGGGCAGGGAAGTTGCTGGAAAGGCTAAAGGAAGAGAGAACCTGGTGGAAGACAATGGCCGGCCCCTCCTTGTCCCACCCAGGTGGAATGTGGGTGTGGAGAAAGGACGCAGGAGCACAAATATTCCAAGTATGTTGCAGTGAAGCAGGGGAACAGAACAAGGAAAAGGGACCTTGGCACGCACTGGAGCTGTGCTGAGCCTTGTTCTTCCTGGTCCAGGGTACAACCCCCCATCCTCTACTGCAGTCTGAAGGTGCTGCCCTGCTGGGGGCTGTCCAGATCTGGTGGATGACCAGGAGAAATGCCCGAGTTTGCAGAGCCTCTGGAAACAGGTCCAGCCTATCCAAGAGCAGACAGGCCGACTGTCCAGTCTGAGCACAGCCAGAATGCCCTCCCCCAAAGGGACAACTTCGTTTCTCCCCTCCCCGCCTTAATTAGATTAGAAGACAACAGGAGGGGAAGGTGGGAGAATGAAAGCCATTAAAGAGCTAGAAGTACCCAGTATTCATGGAGGTTAGCTTGAGATACGAGGAGCTCCATTAGCACCAGGCACTTTCTTCCTTGCTTGCCTCCATAAGGGAAAACATCACATTGAAAGAGGTTTCATGGCATCTTGGAGGAGGAAAGCAGGCTTGGATTTTTTGGAGATTTTTGCAGCTTGATTTAAGGCTGGTTTTTCAGTGCTGGGGAAAGGAGGAGGGAGAGGGCTTGAGTAGGATTAGATGAAGATCATGAATAACAGTGTAGGGTTCCATGTACTTCATGTTCTAGCAACCACAGCTAAAAGAATTTTTGATATAAAGTTGTTTTGCTTTTTGCCTTTTAAAACTTGTTTTTTGTGCAACTATATCATCTAATTGTACTCCTTTAAGAATCACGTATGACAGATGGTCAACAGATATATGAAAAGATGTTCAACTTCACTAGCAGTGAGGGAAATGCAAATCCAAACCACAATGAGATACCATCTCACACCTGTTAGAATGGCTATTATCAACAAGAAAAGTAATAACAAGTGTTGGAGAGGCTGTGGAGAAAAAGGAACCCTCGTACATTGCTGGTGGGAATGCAGATTGGTACAGTCAGTGTGGAAACAGTATGGAGGTTCCTCAAAAAGTTAAGAACAGAATTATCATATGACCCAACAATCCTTCTTCTGGGTATGTATCCCAAAAATCTGAAAACATTTATCCGTAAAGATAAATATACCCCTATGTTCATTGCAGCATTATTTACTGTGGCCAAGACATGGAAACAAAGTGTCCTTTGAGAGATGATTAGCTAAAGAAGATGTGGTGTGTATACACAATGGAATACTACTCTACCATAAAAATTGCTGAAATGCTATTTGTGACAACATGGATGGATCTTGAGAGAATCATCCTAAGTGAAATAAGTCCAAGAGAAAAGGACAAGAAGCATATGATTTCACTCATATGTGGGATATAAAACAGAAAGCAACAAACGTGGTTACCAGAGGAAAAAGGGGATGGTGGGGAGGAGGAAAAAGGTAATGGGGGTCAAATATATGGTAACAGAAGGAAAACTGACTCTGGGTGGTGAGCATACAATGCAATATAGAGATGTATTATAGAATTGTACACCTGACACTCATATAGTGTTATTAATCAATGTTACCCCAGTAAATTTAATTTTCAAAAAGAATTCTAAAAATTAAAAAATACATGCATGAGCAAAATTTTACATTAAAAATATGAAATAGCCTGAATCTCTTGGCTAAATGTAGACTTGAGCACAAAACTCTTGAGTTCTAAAACTTGGGGGAGGGGGTTGGTGGCCGGGAAGCAGAGAGAAATGACAAGGCACAATTTTTACTTCCCATTATTTTGAAATTTCTAAATTCACCTTAATGAGATCATAGATAAGTTAAAACTTACCCTTGTGTCACCTACAAAAACCCCCAAAAACTTAGCTGGTGGTATAAATCTAAGAGAGAGAGGGGAAGCCATCATCACAGTCAAAAAGCTCCTGACTACGTGCTATAGATGACTGTACTGTGAGAGGCACCAAGGATGGAGTTAGAAAACAAGCCATATGTGGACAAAAGGTATGAGGGAGCGCTTCAGAACAGCAGTAATTTCAATCCAAACAATGATGGGACTGATGACAATTATTCTGATGTTAGTCTTACAAGGATTGCACAAGATGCCAAGTTTTTAAGCCTCATTAACTGTGGAGAAGGCATCTAACAAAAATACTCATACCATTATTAATTCCTTGGGGCAGGACATCCCTCAGCAGCAGAATTGGCAGAGGACATAAAGGTTTCTATGAAAAAGGATAGAAGTAGGACCCAAACAGATTTGAATCCAGTAAGATGAAATTTAACAGAGAGAAAGACTAACGCTTAGGTCTAAGAAATTAACTGCACTCGTACCAGATGGAGAAACGTGGTTTAACAGGAGCATTGATAGAGAACAGTGCAGCATTTTGACTGACTATATATTTGGGAAGAGTCTGTTTGTTTGATATGAGGCTGCCAGAAGACTTTAAAAAAAAAAGGCAGCAAAACCAGTGTGGTTCTAAACAGCGTGAGAACCACAGAGCTGCAGAATGTGATTGACTAAAGGGATCTTAGAAAGCATCGCCCACCAGTTTAGACCTTGGAAAAGAGGAAGGGATGGATGTGTGTCTGGGTATAATCCTCTATGAGGATGCTGACTAATATAAGTTAAGGAGCACAGTGAGAAACTAGTGACCACAAGAGGGAAACGGAAGGTTAAGACCAAAGAAGTGAAAGTTCAAGGGGAACCGAAGCTGGCTCCAAACAGTAAAACACAGGTTACTGGGCCAAGAGGTCCTGATTCAGCAGATATGGTGTTCTCAAAATTTGCATTTCCCAGGTGCAAATTAATAAGTTCCCAGGAGATGCTGATGCAGCTGGTCCAGGGACTATACTTTGAGAACCACTGCTCTAAGTAACAAAATTATACTTAAAACACACACACACACACACACACACACAATGTGATCACGAAATATGGTGAATGCTTAAATAAAAAAATGTATTACAGTAAAAGACACATTGACATTAATTCCCCCCAAAATACCCCCCTATTCCCCATCCCCCACCCGGCTTCAAACACACTTATCCCATCGTTCTAGCCACTTTCTGAAGCAGTTCTGGAGGTCCTCTCTCATGAATGTCTTTACTTCATCCTCCATCATGACAACACTCCGTGTCACACATCGCTTCTGGTATATGGCAATTTCTGTCAAATGAAAACATTACGGTGTGTCCTCATCCACCTTATGCACTGGATCTGGGACCGTGTGACTTCTGGCTCTTCCCCAAAGTCAAAATGATTCAGGACATCGAGGCAGCCATGACAGAGCAATTAAAGACACGAAAGAGGACTTCCAGAACAGCTTCAGAAAGTGGCAAGAATGATGGGATAAGTGTGTTCAAAGCGAGGGGGAGTGTTTTGAGGGGACTTGATGGCAATGTGTCTTTTACTGCAATACATTTTTAAAATTTAAACATTCACTGTATTTTTTTTATCACACCTCGTATATTCTAAGATTTTACTAAATGACACAATGGCCTATTTCCCAATAGTCCAAATTAGGGAGAATTTATTGGTTTTAAAACTCCACACACTGGTGTTTAAGATTATGCTTACAACTTCGTATTACTTAGCAGAAGTTCCACCTTTAATTACTGACCCTCAGTGTTTCTTATTAGTTCAGCTTCATGAAGCAGACTTCTGNGCTGAGAGCAATGATCAGGGACCTTGCTGACCAGCAGGCTGATGGATTTTCATAGAAATGCAGCTACAATGGGAGAGCATAAGTCTATTCTTGGGAAAATGCAGAGAAATAGGGGTACCTGAAGTGGGGGAGGTAAGTGGCCTTTGCCCTGTATAGCGACTGAGCGGCTCAAGTTAATCCACTTGGCATCTAAAGGAAAAGGAAGTCCACAATAAGAGAGCGAGAGGCTCTGTGGGCTTGCATCCCTACACAAAATCATTTGTGGCACAGAGTGGGCTCTTCCAAATTTGTCTACTCTTATTTATCCTGGATCTCTTTTTTTGGGGGGTGGTGGTGCTAAGAACCAACATTTTCTTGAATCTATTCATTTCCATCACCACCATATCTTTTGGAGCCATTTTTACACAAAGAAACACTTTGTTTTGTTCTGTTCAATCTTTTCATGACAGGTAACGTGCAGGCAATAACGAAAGAGAACAAAAAAGTGCTGAGATGCAGACAGTGGAGCTCACCCGCCAGCGAGGTAACTCGCCTTACCACTTCCTTACCTCCAGCTTTGAAGGGACATGACCCAACTTCCTATCTCAGCCCAACTGCCATATGTCAGAGAGCTTTAAGATGGCTTGTGAACATCTACAAACAGAAATGTTAACTGCTTTTACCTTGACAAGCACCACTATGTACATTACAGCTTCAAATGTCTGCATCTACTGTTCCTACTTTACAGCCCCTGGCAAAGTAACCAAAATGAAAGAAGATGAACTTACAAATATGTCCAAGGAATTCGGAGGTTACACCAGCCTGCACTTGGGCCTTACATTAAGACTGAGGCAAGCTGATTTGACATGGCCTCAAATTCTGTTCCTCTTATTTAGTGGTAAAAGAATTAGGGACATGAAAACATTATGATCAAGTTTAAGCAGAAAGTTATCACATTGCTTGACTATTATGTGTTCAAGAAAGATACGTTCCTGGTTTCCTTCTGTAAAATAGGCTTCAACAAAAACNTATTCCTCTGCTTGCAGCGGCATCATTCTATTTTCTGCCTCCATCATTGTATGACCTCTTCCTGTGTTTCCTCTGGGTCTAGATTTCTCTTTAAGGAATACACAATATTGTATTTATGGCCACTCGAATCCAGTATCTCAATTTGTATCCCAATCCAGTACCTTAACTTGATTACATATACAAAGATATGAATTGGGGGGGGGGACAACACTATTCAACCCAGAACAATGGCCTAAGGTCACTGTTAATAAAAACGTATTGCTTGAGTTTAGGATGCAAAGAGATATAAATCATAGTCCCTGCCCTCAAAGAACAACACTGTAGTTACAGAGGTAGTCCCTGTACCCAGAACCTAACTAACCAACAAGATAGGAGATGCTAAGAGCCAACTGATTAGGCCAAATGACAAATCACAGGCCAAATGGCAGCCATGTTTGAGAAATTCAGCTAAGGGGATGCAGTCACTGAGGATACCATAAAAGGATTTCATTCCAAGGGGAGGGTTGGCCAAGCATATCCTTGAAGGGAAGTAGGAAAAGCAAAGATAAGTAAGGAGGGTTTATCAAAAAAAGCTCAGTTCGGAGGCAGGAGGTGTGACTGGCAGAATCTTCTGAAGTTTCACTGCAGAAGTGAGAAGCTGAAAGGATGCAAATACCTTACTGTAGGGAATATGAGAACATAGTGAATACTTCGGCTGTAACAATGGTATGCTGTAATGCCGTAACGATTAGCATGCTTTAAAGTGCTTCCTCCTTTCATTAATTTTATTTGGTCTTTATGAGAATCCTGAGTGTCATCAGAGAAAGGAATGTTATATAACCATGGGTCCTGGGGCTCCAAGGGGTCAAGTAACTTGCCCAGGTCAAACAGCAAATCAGTTTTAGAATTGGTAGGAAACACACTGGTCTCAATATTCCTCATTCAGGAGTTTCCCCACCAAATG